ATTGATGACGGTATTCGAACGGCACACACACAAATTCATAGAAATATTGATAAGTGGATACAGAATGGATCAAACTGGCACATCAATCATATCGTCGGATTTTACGTTGATGTAGCAGCATATCAGCCAATGAGAGGTAAATCCTACATTGATTTACCGAACGAGCTCAAGAAAAAGAAGGCAATCATCAATGTCAAGAATAAGGATAATAAATGTCTGATGTGGGCACTGCTCTCAGCTCTGTATCCAGCAAAGAAAAATAGTGACAGGGTAACTCAGTATACAGACTATAGCAACAAACTTGATCTGTTCGGAATCGATTTTCCAACACCACTGAGTCAAATTTCCAAAGTCGAGACGCAAAACAACCTAGCTATCAATGTCTTTGGGTATGAGGATAACGTGATCTATCCGCTACTACTGACAAAGAAAAGAGGTGAGAAAGTGATCAATCTTCTACTATACCAAAAAGAAGATCAGAATCACTACTGTTGGATCAAAGATTTCAGCAGATTGTGCTACGATCACTCAAAGCATAAAGCCAGGAAATTCTTCTGTACAAGATGTCTCCAACCACACAACACAGAGAAATCCCTGAGCAATCATCAGGCGTATTGTTGTTGTTGACTTTGTTGTTGACTTTTATTTTACTTCACCAATTGCACAGGCATGATTGCCATCTTACCGGCCTATAGGTCCGGTTCTCACAGAAAGATGAAGAAAATTATATGAGGAAATGTATAGAGATAAAGACATGCAAGCGGTATGATTAGTATTATAGAAATGTTTGTTATGACATTGTGTGTATGCTGACACTCAATTTGTGTGAATTTTTTATAATGTGATAACAAATAAAATGTAGTGGACGCATTTCATGAGAATATATGTTTGAACATTGGCAGACTTTGTTGGATGGGGACACTTTTTAGCAGTCCAGGGAATATGAAGTACGGCGAGGGGTGTTGGACTGTTGGCATGGAGTTTACAAGTTAAGTACGTCAATATCAGATAGGGCTCTCCTGAATTGATCGGCAGCAGTTATCGATCTTACATCAGCCGAGAGGGCGTTCCATGCAATACTGCCGTGAAACATCATACTCGAGCGACCAGCAGGCCCGCGAAGGAAAGGGACTTGGAGCAAGTTGGAAACTTGGCCCCTAGTGATGCGCTGATCGTTTAGCACGGTGTTTGGAGCAGTCGTTGTAAAGAGTTGCTGTAGGAGTGGGCTACAGTATCCATTGATACAGCGGTGTACAAAGATTAGAACTTTCTGAGTGTATGTGTGTGCCAGGCTGGCTATACTAAGAAGTGCCAGAAGCGGTGCGGTGGGGGTGAGAAAGCGCTGTTGCAAGGTTGCACGAATGCCGGCTTTGAAACTCTTCTCCAGACGTTCAAGCAACTGGGCAGAAAGCCCAGGAGCAAAGCTATTCGAACCATAGCATAGCTGAGAGAGGACCATGCTGAGGAACCAAGTGCGTCTGGCGCGCAAACTGAGTCCTTGGCCATGCCTCCAGAGCTGGCCAATGGTCCTAGCAGTCTTGCGGCTCAGGTTTGCAATGTGGGGTTTCCAGGACAGCTCCTCATCGAGTATTACCCCGAGATACTTAGCCGAGGGTGTGATAGCAAGTTTGTCAGCATGGCAGAACACCTCAGGCTGTGTGTCATCTGCGCCACGGGGCTTTATGAAGAGAAGCTGAGTTTTTGCTGCATTCAGCAGCAAACCAATATCTTCTAGCCACGTGGCGAGGCTTGTGATTGCAAGGCTGAGGGTTCGGCATACTTCAGTGGGGTCGGTGTCTGAGCAGTCGAGAGTAATGTCATCCGCAAATTCTTGGTGGTTTACCGCCGGTGGCAGGATCGTGCTCAATGTGCTAGTGTACAAGACAAATAGCAGGGGACCAAGAACGCTGCCCTGTGGGACACCACGAGAACAAGAAACGGCAGGAGAGAGATGTCCTTGAACTCTGATCTGCTGGAAGCGGCCTGAGAGGTAATCAGCAAACCAAGTGAGTGGAGTACCAGATATGCCAAGAGAGAAGAGTTCAGTCAGAAGACGCTCGTGCTGAACGCGATCAAACGCTTTCGACATATCTACGAACACAACTCCGGTGTACTCTCGTCGAGATTTGGCTAGAGACCATCTGTTGACTGCGAGGGCAAGTGCATCCTCTGTGGAGTGTTGTTTACGATGGGTGGGTAGAAGCTGGGCTGATTCGAGATAGGTGGTGAGCTGTTTCTTTACAAATGCTTCCAGAATACGGGAGATGATGGGTAGCAGGGAAACTGGGCGGTAGTTTGTAGGTGAGGTTGGGTCGCCACCCTTAAACAGAGGGGTGACATGTGAGGATTTGAAGGTGGAAGGAAGTTGGCCTGTTCTGAGCGAATAGTTGATAATTTTGGTGAGATTGGGTGCCAATATTGAGGAGAACTTGTGTAGAAGTAGGCCAGGCACACCATCACTGCCAGTCGCCTTACTTGGGTCCACAGAACTCAAGCAGGACTCGACGGCAGAAACTGCGACTGGCTGGAAAGCAGAGAAACCACATTGTTGGGTTGGTCCCAAGGGAGCTTGAAGAGTGGCGGGACGCGCTGGGTCATGTACGACACTACCAAATGTTTCACTGAGATCCTGTAGGGATGCCTGTGGGACCTGGGCTTTCTTTTGACGACCAGTTACAACATTCAACACTCTCCACAGTTTGCGCTGGTCACTCGTTCGGCATTGTTCAATGAAGAACTGGTTGCGCAGCTTCCTGTCGAGTCGACGGGCCATGGCCCGAGCTATGCTGATCACGCAATTGTACATTCGCTTGATCTCTCATGAGGAGCCGGTGTAAATGATTACGTTTACGAACTCCACCCACAAGCTCATCAGTGAGCCAGGGGCACGGGCGGCGTGCGCGTTTACGCTGGGGTACCAATGGTGCATACTGGTCTAGTGTGGACATGATAGAAGAGGTGAAAGAATGAACCATATCATGGATATTGCTGTGGGCATCACAGTCTTGCTGCACAGTCTTTCCTCTGGAGGTCGATACTGAAACTGTCCCAGTTTACTCGATGGAGACGTCTGGTGGTTTTCACTGACGATGACACGTGCTGGTGTGTGTGAATGTTCAGCCGGGCCAGCACAGCAAAGTGATCACTTATGTCTAAGTGTATTGCTTCACAGGTACCATCCAATGGGGAGGTTGAAAGGAACAAATCTAGCATCGTGGATGATGTTGCCGTGACCCGTGTTGGAGATGTAACATAATTGCAGAGATTGTAGTGGGAAAGAATGTTGTACAAAGGGGATGCAGATGGAGAAGTTGGATTGCTAAAATCAACATTGAAGTCGCCAAGTAGCACAGTGGATTGCTGACATCCCTGAACAGCTTGCTCAATGTTCTGATCCAGTGCGGTCCAGTAGGCAGCAGAACTATTTGGCGGCCGATAACAACAGCCCAGGAGCGTTCCATGTCGACCCGGGGCTAGAATCTCCAGCCACAGCATCTCTAGCTCGCACTCTAAATCGGCCCGTTGTCGAACAGCCAGTGACTCATGACAGTACACAGCAACTCCGCCACCTCGCTGATCAGGTCTGTCTCTTCTGTATAGCTTGAAGTGCGGGATGGACAACTCCTGATCGGACACATCCGGAGTCAACCATGTCTCGGCTATTGCGAGAACGTGAATGCCTCGTGTTGAGATGAACGTTTGAACTTCTGCTACCTTCCGCCGAACACTACACACATTCAGAAATCCCACACTGAGTGACTGGGTCGAGGAGGTAGGTGGTGCTGTGGGTGTTACATTATAGTTATAGTTCTGCATTTTTTTTTTTCAAGTCACGATTAGACTCTGGCAAGCGGACTAAATCGTGAGCCTGGTGCTAGATTTGGTGGTTTCCGGGAATCCTTCTTCTTCACCCCAGTTGCCAACTCTGGTGAGGACTCAGTGCTGGCATTCCTGCCTCGACGTTCAGGCGTGAACCAAGTGTGGATCGCTTCGGTGTTGATGTTTGATGCCACTTCTGATAGGAGTCGCTCTGTCCGTTCTAGATCTCGCTCTGCAATGTCTACTTCGACGTCCGCGAGGGGAGTTCTGGGGTGTTCTGTCATGCTTGACAGCGATCCCTGTGCGGACGACATGTCTGGCTCAGTATCTGTCAGGTTTTTCAACGCTGAAGTAACCTCAGTAGGCCCCTCATCGACTTTCGTAGTTTTCAAATTCAAATCCGTTTCGAACACTTCAGTGCTGACTGCGGGTTCTCCAACATTTGACCCCACAGGAGTTGCACTCGTACTACATCCAATACTCGAGAGAGTACTCGGGCTGGTGCTGGGCCTGCTGGCAGTGCTGCTGCTGGAGCGTGCAGAGTCTGGCGACTCGTTTTGGACTCCGGTCTGTACGGTAAGTTCACCAGGTTGCACTCCGACAGTTGCAGTTGCGCTTGTTCTGGTGTGCGCGGTTCGCTTCGCGTATGTAGTTCCTGTGGCGAGTTTGCGGCGATGTGTCCCGGTTGGGAGCATTTACGACAGGTTGCAGGCTGGCCTTCGTAGCGTACACGAAACAAGTTGTTCGTAGATGTTTTCACATACGACGGAATCTGCATGTTGGGGCGAAGAGAGATTAAGGCGAAGCGGACACCAGTGGCAATGGCGAGCCCTGACTTCGTCTTGACAAATCCATGGCGAAGAGGCCCAACGGCCGATCCAAAGACACCCAGGCTTTCGATAATAACGTCGTCTTGGACCCAGATGGGCACATCGTGGATTTGGATTTCCACGGAATCAGGCACCAGTTGAGTGACGCGCACTTCCACTGACATGAGATGGAAACCGTTTCGGCAAAGTCGTGTCTCGGGAATGAAACGTGGCCTTGCAGCTCAAGTTACTAGTCAGCTGCACGGATATCCCGCCGGAGTGGAGCCCTTCGGAGACGTAGTGTAGAATCGTAGCTTAGTGTAGAGTAGGTGATATTTTGAGTAGCTGTCACACCCTGACCTACTCTCCGCCATGGACGAGCTGGCAGGTGAACCCCTGAGACTTCTGTGCAGTCTCCCAGGCATCGAAGCCAATGTCATCAGCTTGATCCAGCAATTGTCGTCGTATGTTAGTGAGTCTAGAGATAGAGAGGAGCGCGTGAAACGGCGTGTGGATGAGCTATGTGCACACGTTTCGGAGTTACGAGGCGAACTGAGCTCCTTGAGGCAGTCCGCCATTGCCCCCATGCATGTCGACCAACAGCAACAAAAAGGCGAGGAGGTCAAGGAGAGTGCAGCTAGTAGTACGAATAGTACCCGTACGCTAACTGGAAAGTCTAAGCCGCGCGCAAATAGTAGGGAGGTTCTGCTATACGTGAAACGTAGAGAAATCACGTAGAGAGCAGGTGCCTGGGTTAGAGTCTACGGCTTCGCGTGTTTTGGCTCCAGATTTCTACGCGGAGATGGGGTTCTCTACGTTGTGGCACACGCAGAGAAAATGTGTACGGATTTGCTGGGTATCGATCAACTGCATGCAGAAAACTGCCAAATATGGAAGGGAAATTCCCAGTACACATTCCACGTGACTTCTCTAGGTGAAACGTAGAGCAGAACAGCATTTCTTTACGTTACGGGAACGCGAAGAAAGTTCGCGTGATTCTTTGCGTCGCGTTCCCAAAACGTAGAGCAGAACCTCCCTAGTGAAAAAAAGTCAAAGCAGCAGGCAGAACACGTGGGAACGCACACTGAACCCCGTACCCGTAGCGCTGCCACACATTGGCACGCAGGCAAGACGGTGCCCTCAGTGGACACGGAAACGGAGTACAAGGATAAAGCAAACCCGGTATGTACTACAAACCACAGTCCAAAGGTCGCAGACACACAGACAAACACTGTGGGTTCGCAGCACGTTCCACCACTACGTAGAGGATATAACCCGAGTCAGAGGGTTATACCGGCTGAATATAAATCCCGACTGCGATAGCAGGAGGGATTTATATGAGGGTACGGTATAACCCGACTACGAGGGTCATATCCTACTTATGCCAGGTACCCCTACGCATTTCCAGAACAACGAACCTATTTGGAGATCTCCTACATCATGCAGTACATGAACATCTTCTGCTGGTTATCAGTTGTCAATTGAAAGAATAGTCGAGCAAGGTCAGAAGGAGATTCCTCCGTGGATGTTTGGCATAAGATTTCCTTTCAGTTCCAGTGCATATTGTAGCATCTTCATGATCTTGTCTTTGAGTCGTGAGCGGTGCGGAAGTCGACTGAATTGCTGCGGTGCTGGAGTTTGTCGTTGAATCAAACTACCGTCACTAGTTAGATTACAGCTTGGACTCTTTGGGAGTAAGTGTTACTATAATTATGGTACAGTGCTGATTTTCACATGCGGCATCTCATAATCAGTTTTGCTTGCAAGTAGATGCATTTGCATACACTGTTTTGTATCACATTTCAATCCAATCTATTGTAGCCTTTTCCAATCGGGTTGAAGTACATGTACACTGGTATTATAAACTTATTTACGAAGGAGACAGTCCGTTGATGATCTTCAACTCTTCGAAGTACAATGTACATTGCTGACCCATTCGGGATACTTCGTGGTTATTCGACGTTCTTTATCCTCAGATTCAGTATAACAGAATACTCTGTAGACGAATTCCAGGTCATTCTTCTTTTCTATTGTGTACTGTTCCTCGTCAGTGTGCCGTTCTGTGTGGAGTGTACACGCGCATGTGGTGTCCGTTGTGTCTGTTTATGTATGGTCCGTGCGCTGGAGTACTGCCGCCGTACAAGTTCACTTGTACGGTGGCAGTGCCCTAGCGTACGTACCGTGCACCGGGATTTATATTCTATATAAATCCCGCGCGGGATTTATACTGGCCAATATAACCATGGCTATACGAGCGCTGATTGGCTGAAAACAGGCCCTCCGTACCGTACCATGGTATAACTGTGGATGATGACTCATGGCAACTAGTCTCTTCTGTCTCCCCTCGCCTTACCGTCAGGCATGGGGTCATTTGGATTGGAAACCTGCGCCCAGCTATTAGCATTGAGCAATTGGAATCCTTTATCCAACAACGTGCCCTGACAGCCAATCAGCAGCTCACGATATTTAGTAGCAAACTGATCAGCAAGGCTGATGGCAAGGTCGGTGCTCGTGTGACGATCAGCCGAGCCTCAGTTGAAGCCCTCACACAGCCAAACTTCTGGCCCAGGCCTGTTTATGCACGCCCATGGGTTTTTCGTGATGACCAGAGAAACGCAGCAGACAAGCAACAACAGGAGCAACAGCAGAAGACACAGGAAAATCAGCACCAGGAATCTACCCTAAGTCTTGAACAGAGAAACACAGCAGACCAGCAGCAGCAGAAGAAACGGCAGGAGGAGCACCAGAAGACACAGGAAAATCAGCATCAGGAATCTACACCTGAAGAGCACCAGCATTTACAGACAGAACAGCAGAACCTGCATACTGCATCTAGTGACAGCCAATGCCCTGCATCCAGTGACAGCCAATGCCCTGCGTCTAATGACAGCCAATGCCCTGCGTCCAGTGACAGCCAATGCCCTGCGCCTAATGACAGCCAAAGCCCTGCATCTAATGATGTCCAGCAGGACAGTGGCCAGCACCAGCCCAAGCTTCAAGATACGTCAACTGCGTCTGCTCCAGCCAAAGCCACGCCACCTCGCCCTGGAAAGCGTCATGCAGAAGATTCCCCTGGATCCATGTCGGGAATACCATGCAAAATGCAACCTTCATCTAGCTCTCAATGAGTAAGCTAAATCCAGTTGCGCGGGAGTTCTACCCTCAGGCTGCTACCGTATCTATTAACAGACTGCCACAATCTCATTCAACACATACCACCATTGGATTCCTTAACATCTGCAGCCTGCGCTACAAGATAGACACGCTGTCCGCTCTGATTAGGGAAAGGACATGGGATGTTGTTGGGATTGCGGAGACATGGCTGGTCGCGTCTATAGCTGATGGAGAACTGAACATTGAAGGATACAGTTTGGTGAGAAATGACCGAAAGGGGAGAAAAGGAGGTGGCGTCTGTATTTTTTACCGGTCCTACTTGCCCATCAAACCACGGCCGGATCTCAACCAAGGGGACACGGAAGTAGTGTGGGTTGAGCTAAATGGAAAGGCAGGCAATCACTTAATTGCCTGCATATACCGACCACCAGATGCGCCAGTCTCCTACTGGTCCACCCTTGAGGCATCGCTGCATCAAGCTGCTATGGTTACCTCAGCCGTCACATTGATGGGTGACTTCAATGTCAATATCTCGCATTCCCAGCCACAGCATGCCCAGCCACTTCTGGATCTCTGTGGTGCATATGGCCTCACTAATATCGTCCACTCCGTTACGCGAGTCTCACCTCGGTGTCTAGCTGGCACTACTATTGACTTGATACTGACAACAGAGGATAAGGATTTGTATGATTGCCGAGTCCTGCCGCTTACAACCGGGAGCGACGGCATCCCAGGCTTACTTCTAAAGTACTGTGCCGACCTGCTAGCACCATCAGTTGCAGCACTTTTCAATGCGTCCCTGACCTCCGGCACTGTACCCGCTGGCTTTAAGCATGCGTATGTGACCCCATTGCACAAGGCTGGCGATCCATCTGTCGCCAACAATTTCCGTCCTGTGTCCCTGCTCCCAATTCTCTCGAAGCTGCTAGAGAAGGTGGTGCAGAAGGCACTTGTCACCTTTCTGGATATGGCTGGTTCTCTGCCCAGCACACAGTTTGCATTCCGGACAGGACATTCCACGGAGGATGCCCTTGTGTTGATGGTCAACAGGATCCTCGCTTCAAGAGACCGCCGCATGTTCACGGGTGTGGTCCTCCTGGATATGTCGAAGGCGTTCGACAAGGTTCGCCACCAGCAACTAGTCGAAGATCTCTTCTGTGTGGGCGTCACTGGAACAGCGCTCCAGTGGCTCATGTCATACTTGTCTGATCGCTGCCAGATTGTCCAGCTGGGATCCCAGCTTAGCACAGTGGCAGCCTGCTCCTGTGGAGTATCACAGGGGTCGGTATTAGGTCCACTGCTGTTCAGCCTTTACACCCGGGACATACCATCTGTTGCCCAGCAAGCTGAGTCCATCCAGTTCGCAGATGACATCGCACTGACCTGCAGTCGCCCAACACAACAGGAACTGACCGCCACTCTCTCCAGAGTAGTGACATGCATTGCTGACTGGCTGAAGCAGCGAGGTTTGATCCTTAATGCATCAAAAAGTCAGGCATTAGTAGTACCGGCTGGGAAGCTAGACGCGCAAACTGAACTGGACGTATGGTGTCATGCGACTAAGCTGCCATCTGTCTCTTCTGCTCGCTACCTCGGAGTTCACATTGACAGCGCCATGTCTTGGAACACCCAGATGGATAGGTGCGTTGCCCGCCTCAACAAGAAAGTCGGTCACGGCTGTTATGCATGCATGATCCAGCGACATTATGTACGGTACGACATTTGCCGGTCACCACAGTGATTTTTGATGCTGTCGTACGCGACCTTGCTGTCATTTTCAAATCCCTGGAAATATTTGGCAAGGTTTCGCTTAGATTTCTATCGATTACAGCCGTCTTGTGGGCCCGATTTCTAAACTCTAAGCGAATTCGCATGGGCAATTAGAAACTGCGCACGCAGATATTTCGATCGTCAGAATGCGAAATGGGAAAGTGAAGTTACGATCTTTTTCGTTTCCTTCTTCCTCGTGGTGCCAGCCATTGGCGATTATCAGAAGTGGCTGACTTTCGAGGCTTCCTCGCAGGAGGTTCAGAATTTTTGGCAGCCCCCACGTCAATTTTCATTGACAGGTCTGTCCTTTTCCTTTGTCGTAGTGTAATTTTCATTGCGGCCCAGATTATTGTTTTCGTGCCCAAATCGATTTGCATGGCGTCCTTGGACGTACATGTCAAGCGTCTACTTGATGTTTGCAGGATAGGTGGAGCAAAGTTCTCCAGCCTAAAACGTCAAAGGAAGACCCTTGTTGCGTCTGCCATAGGTGAGATCCATGCATGCTTTGGTCTGGATGTCAGTAAGGACAAACCAGACGTGCATCCTCTGAATATCTGTAATTCATGCAATCAAATTGTATGTAGATATAGGAAATCTGATAAAGATTTCACTGTTAGAGATGGAGGGTGTGGATCACCTGTAGAGTGGACACCTCACAAACGGTCGTCTTGTTCTTTTTGTGCTGAGTTCAGCCAAGTTGGCAGACCCAAAAAGAAAGACAAAAGAAATCCACTTACTGTGAGTGTAAATACAAATGCCCCAAACTCCATTTTAGATAGTAGGTGTGAAGCATCCAGATCGTCTGGCCTGGACTTACAAGATGTGAGTAAATTGCAAGGCCTAGCAACACCCTGCTTCAAGGCAGATGTAGAGCTTGATGCAAGCCGCTTTACACATGACGTGCAACACGCATGCTGTTCAATTTGTACCCTGGTGTTCAACCAAGCCGTGGAGGCCCCATGTTGCAATAATTCTTTTTGCTCTACATGCATTTGGCACTGGCTTTCTGGGGCAGACACATGTCCCTTCTGTAGGACCCCTCTTCAGGCTTCTCAGTTGACTGCACCACACCCATTTACCACAAAAGCTCTAGCGGCAAGCACTGTGCATTGTGATTTCTACCTTTCTAAGTATGACGGGTGCTCTGCAACAGTGAAGTTAGATGGTCTGCAGGCGCATGTAAAGGAGTGCCCATTTAATCCCACGACCCCTTATGTTCCTTTGCCTCCTACCGTCAGTCCATCATTCACTGTCCAGGATGTTCTGGATGCTCCAGCATCTCACATTCGAGGAGATTGTAGTGGCAAACTGTTGAACAAGCTTGTGCAAAACATGGCCGAAGATGGTGTACTAGAAGTGAGATCAAATTCTAGTGGGAGATCTCAGACCTGGATGCGAGCAGCAAGTGGCACTAAGTCTACTGAAGAAGTCAGTACTAGGACTGTACAGAGACGTAACAGTTTGATGTCTCGCGTAGCCACTAAGGTGTGTAGCTCGAAAGAAAGTGCTGCAGCCCAGACAGCTGCATCCATTAAAGTGCTACCTAAGTCTGAACGAAATGCCTTACTTGCAGATGCAGGGATGCTCCCCAAAGGCTCACAGAATGCGGCTGGTCTAGCACTAAAAGCCGACATGCACATGTCATGGTTTGCAATACGGAAAATGAGAGTGTGGCTGCGGGAGTTTGGTGTATTCTTGGAATCAGAGCGTTGCATGCGGGAGCAGCTCAAAGAGGACATGCCATTTAACCTTACAGCAGAGAAAGTGCCCATGACAGATAAACATGGAAATGTGCAGTTGGCACCAATGGTTGCAGTCATTGATCTTGTTGGTATGGTTCTGCACTACCTTGAACAACATATGGAGGCATCCAACTTAGTTTGGCATGATGCAATTCCTTCAAACACCATAGTTGTCAAGATTGGTGGTGATCATGGTGGAAGATGGGGTACTTTCAAACTGAGCTTTCAAATTGCCAATGTTAAGGCACCCAACTCCCTGAAAAACACAATACCATTTGTATTATTTGCTGCTAAGGATTCTCCAGCAAATCTTGCAACAGCATTGGCTGTATTTTCAGCACAGATCACGCAGCTGAATGTTACGAAGTGGAGGTCTCACAGCATACAGGTAGTGTTGTTTGGTGATTATGAATTTCAGACGCACAACTATGGGCTGTCGGGTAGCAGTGGCGTATACCCTTGTTTGCATTGCCAGACAGCAAAGAGAGATTTTCAATTGCCACTGTCTGATAGGACCACCCCCCAACAGCCTAGAACATTGCAGACTCTCAATGCTAATCACACTGCGTTCATGGACAGTGGTGGAAACTTGAGCAATGCGAAGAAACATTTCAACGCAATCCGTGCAGTTATCCTACCTGTCCCTATTGAAGATGCATGCCTCCCTGCCCTTCACTTGGATTTAGGCATCTTTCCCTATCTATATGAGGCCTTGCTAGCAGATGCACAGGCATTAGATTTGAAACTTGCAGCACACACTAATATCACTGCAGATTCAGGGCATAAGTCTTTCGACGATCTTGCTGAAAAGCACACACTGTTGCGTCAGAAAAGACAATGCCATACTGAAACCGAGCAACGACGAACAGCAACCATGCAGCAGCTTACTTATCTTGCACTTCATCTGCAACAAGCAGAGCATGGCAATGCAGTTCAACAGCTACAAGCACTGATAGGTGTCCATCAATTGCAATACAGAGAATTAGATGACAGCTGCAAGAAACTAGAGACAGAAATTCTGCAAATTGAGACAAGTATTGATGGCATAGCACCTACGAGTCTATCCGGTCCATGCGCGGCGAGTTTAGACGATGTACTTCAGAAATACTTCATTTGCCGCCAACAATACCACGGTGGAAGCTTTGTGGGGAACCACATCCACCGTGCGCTGAAGCCCAATGTTATCTCTGCACTGGTACAGGCACCCCTAAGTGTCCTTGAGACAAAGCAAGTAGATGGGGAATTGGCAGATGAAGCAAGAAGCGTATTGGCTCGCTATAACAACTTGCTCACACAGTTCGCAACATGCCGCGAATTGTATTCTGGTGCTTCGCGCATCACTGCAGGCCAGCTGGTTGACTTGGAAGCATCCATTGCTACTTTCATGAGCACAGTCCGCACCGAAATTGTTGCACGCAAGAGAGGTAATATCACTCCTAAGCTGCATCTATTGGAGGAACACGTTGTGCCCCAAATGAAACATTTCGGTGTGGGGCTGGGTT